CTTAACTGGCTCAAGATAAGAGCAAGTTCCGTGTTGCGAGGAGGGTGCATGGTGATATGACTTGTCTTACATGCATATTCCTTCCTGCCTGATCAGCCTCTTCACAACTTGGTCACCCACAGTCTAATCCCTGCACAACCACTTTTTGAATCAGACTCTGGTCTTCAGTCGGACCTCCAACCGCGGGCCTTGCCACTGAGCGATTTAATTCATCCAGAACAAAATCATTTAAGCACCATCAATTTGTGATCCATAGATCCATGAGTACAATGGAAGAAACCACTCCGATGCCTCCTCCGCTGGATGTTCAGGCTCCAACTGGGAGCAATGACAAACCCACCAACAGCGTACCCGACGAAGCGATTGATGAGCCAACATCAAGCTCAAAGACCGCCGCTGATGTCTCTCATGACTCCAGCAAGTTGCTCCCAGGTCAGAACCAGAAGAAACCGTCTGGAAGTGCGACCCCTCGCGACGAGACTGGTGACATGCAGGCTGAGATCAATCGCCTCAATCGCCAGATCCAGGATCTCAGGATGATACATCAAGAAGAGCGAGAGCAACTTGAAGATGCATTAGAAGAAGACTATGAGTTCAGAAGCTGGAGCACGCGTGAAGTCAAAGCACACGGGATGCCCTTCACTCGAAGCCATCACGCCTATGTCGGCGAAAAGGTTCCTCAAGACTTCGCCGAGGAACTGGATCAAGTTGAGATTCTTCACTATGCACGGGAAGCTGAGAGGCAGGCTGTTCAAGCCTGGAGACTTGCTCATCCGGGACAAGAATATCAGGCTCCGCAGTCAAAGACTGGTCCGCCAAGTACCTCAATGCTTAATCGTGTGTCATGGACTGAGTTCCAAGACTCACTCGAGGTCACGGACCAGGCTAATCGATTTGCGATCGACGTACTGGTTGGGGAACCGAATGTGAAAGTCACACTGCCGAGCCTTCGCTATCGCACTAGAGGAGAAGCTGCAAAATACGGGTTCGACAACAGAGTCGATGCTACTGGCGCTACTGCCAGTTCTTCAGCAGCGGCAAATCTACGAAAGCCAACTGGTAGAACCATGTCTCGCGGCCAGGGACCACTGCCTGAACGTATCCGTATCAACTCGACAGCAATACTGAGAATCCTGAGTAAGATTTTCCAGGAGGAAATCTCAACGAACTTTGAGCCAGTCTTGATGATGAGGCCATTTCGAGGACTCATCTGGTACAAAGATGAGATCAGAAAATGGAGAGATGATCTTGAGAAGAATGTCATAAAGGCTCAGATAGAATCCGAAAAGACGCAAAATGAGGAGGAAGACAAAGCAGACACTGCCGAAGAAAAGACTACTACCGATGAGGCACCTGGACCCAGTGCAGCGGAAGAGCTCTCTGCAAACGAAAAGGAAATGGAGGATGATGGAGATAAGCCCCAGAAGGAGGAATCCGCAAACAAGGGCCCAAACCCGGATCTTGTCAATTTTTTCGAAAGCATAGAGAATGGTCAAATCCCCAACAAGACAGAAGACAAAACTGATGCCAAGGAAGACGAAACAAAGGAGAGGCGGGGTAGTCAGGATGCCAAAATCGCCGATGACGATAGTCTCATAAACACGCAAGAAGCCCTGGACGACCTCAACTGCCTAGTCGACTTCATCAACCATGATCTGGAAGATAAACTGGCGTACGTAGCTAGCGAAGAGTGCACGAAGGTCGTGTGGAGTGATCTATGGCACCTTTTCAAGCCAGGTGACTTTGTGGTCAGCAAGGACGAGAAGCAGGCATATCGAGTCATCCAAGTCAAATACGCGACACACAGCATGAAGCCACCAACTGGAAGGAACCTCTGGATGGCAGAAGCAAAGGCTAAGCTTGATGATTCGCCGATTACTATCCAGTGTGTTTTCTTAGACTTCGATGGAGAAAGAATCGGTCCCGTTACGCAGACCATCGACATTCATCGATACGAAGGTGAAAGGAGTATTCGGTCTCTCTCGGTTGTTCCTTTACGACGGGCCAAGACTCGTAACTTGAAGGAGGCTTTGATCAAGCGAGGCTCCATGTTTATTGAAGCGTGCGATCCTCAGCGTCGTGGTATTCCAATGCACTATTCCGGCCTCTCCTTAGAGACACAGGAAGAAATCGACAGTCAAGTCGTGATCGACTTTGAAGAAGCCTTCGCCACCAACGATGTCGGAGGCAAAACCAAGCCCTCGGGCTGGACGATCGAAAAGCTGGTCCTCGAGTGCTTCGCCGGTAGTATCAAGGATGAGATGCAACTCTACCTGCACGACGTCCAGACCAACTGGAAGCCTGAACTAAAAGACGTTGATCCCGGCGGTGACTCTGACAATACCGACTACACATCCGATAGCTCAGATGATCGATCGCGGCGTCGACGTCGCCGGGCGCGCATGAATCAGACTTGCCTTCCACAGTGTTGTTCGAATGAGAATGTTCACGATGATGTTTTCGTGGAGCATAATAGGAGCAGTGAATTTGTGCAGAGTCAGTTTTGGGAGGACGATTTGAATGAGGGGTTGCCGTCTTTGACTATCGCGGCGAGACCCTTGAGAGAGGCGATGGAGGATGAGGATTATATCACTGATGATGACAGGTTGATTACGAGCTATAGGGTTTTTGGGTTTATCATGAGGAGTAGAAAATGGGGTGAGTACCATACTCCAAAGCTAGACCTGGTATCGCACCTGGAGTCTTCCTGAAGGAGTCAGGTTATTTCAGACGCTGAACTGACGTAAACTACTTACAGCTAAGCTCGACTTGACATACCTCGGACCTATGAAGGGGCAGAACACTTTCGACCTACTCGTACTCCCAACTGGACACAGAGAAATGGTGGAAAGTCTGGTGACACAGCACTTCTTGGACAAGGCGTCTGCTTACGATGAGACGGATGAAGTGGATATCGTCCGTGGAAAGGGTATGTAGTCCCAGTCTAAAGGTCGTTTATAACAACTGACATGGGCTCCAGGCAAAGGCTTGATTCTACTTTTGCATGGAGCTCCTGGAGTAGGAAAGACTACCACAGCGGGTAAGATTTTCGAACTGCTGTAGCATACACAGAGTGATGACTGACTTGGGTAGAATGCGTTGCGACATACTTCCACAAGCCGTTATTCCAGATAACTTGCGGTACGACCGGTCTTAATGTATCAAGCTTTGACGCGTGATGACTAATGGAGTCTTATAGGAGATTTGGGGTCTACAGCAGACGTCGTTGAGAGTCGCTTGGAGAAGAACTTTGCTCTGGCGAGTCGATGGGGGTGCATTCTGCTAATCGACGAAGCTGATGTCTTCCTCGAGGCCCGGCAGACAGAGAACTTTGATCGTAACAGCCTTGTCGCTGGTAAGTAAAGGTTTCCTGAAACATCGCAGTGAGTTAACCACATTGTCTCACCCCAGTCTTCCTTCGGACGCTCGAGTACTATACCGGTATTCTCTTCCTCACCACCAACCGTGTCGGCACCTTCGATGAAGCTTTCACGTCTCGCATCCACATCAGTCTATACTACCCTCCTCTCAACCTAGAATCCACAGTTGCCGTCTTCAAAGTGAATCTCACGCGCATCAAAGCCCGCTTCGAGAAGAAGAAAGAGAGAGGGGAAGCCGAGCTTGAGCTAGATGAGCTGTCGATCGCCACATTCATTCATCGATATTTTGAGAAGAATAAGGACGCACGCTGGAACGGTCGTCAGATCCGTAATGCTTGTCAGACAGCGCTAGCACTGGCTGAATTTGAAGGCCAGAAGCTAGCCAACCCAGCGGCGAGCGGCGGCCGTAACGTCATGGAGTTCGCAGCCATGTCAAAGAAGATGATAAAAGTCAAGCTAGCAGAAAAGCACTTCCAAGACGTCGCCAAGGCTTATCTGGCATTCATTAAGTATCTTCGGGAAGTACACGGTGTCAGTGCAGCGCAGCAAGCTAAGAACTACCGTCTGCGACATGATCGATGGGGTCTTGGCGAGTCAGCTAGTCTGCTTGCTTCCAGACAGAGAGAGTATGGAGCAGAGGGCAAGCCAGAATATGGGCAGCGGTATGGTCCGAGACCAAGTGGAAGAGGAGACAAGCAGACACGAGTACCACAATATCGACAGGAACAGGACGTGGATGATAGGGACATTGCAGAAGAATACGGATATGCCAATGAATACCATGGGTATGAGTACCATGGGCATGAGGATGATCAAGGGCTTATGCAGGACGACGACGATGGTAGGGACTTTGAGAACGGACCGTCGTTTGATGAGGAGGACGATTATGACGAGGGTTATGAAGACCGTCCTGCCGCGCGAGGCAAACAACCGGCGCAGGACTATGACCAAGACTTTGGGGATAACAAATACTACCCCGATGATCAGCAGGAAACTGCCAAGTATCGACCAGCTCCGTCGCAACCAGAGCGACGTACGGCCCGTGGTGGAAATCGGGGAAGAGGCTCTAGCCGCAGCCAACAAGCTTCGAGATTTGATTTTGTTTCCAAGAGGAAAGTGATGCCAGGGATTTATATGAAGATGCCTCCTGATGAAGCTGATTGAAGTTAAGGGGATTTATATTTTCATTACAAGCTATGAAGTTTGAAGAAATGGGAGGTGAGAATATGTAGTATTTCAAATACCGGTCAATCCTAAAAATACAACCTCGCTTGACAATCTGTTTATTGCACTCTCACTGGGCTCTTTCTGCAGCGTTCTACGCTTGACCCTGAGATTGTGACTGCGCCTGACCAGTGCCCTGCAGTCTTCTTTGTTGTTCTCGGGCAGCTTCAACAAATTTAAGGGCATCCGAGTGAGCTTTAAGCTGCCTCAGCTCCTCTTCATCAAAGGGTTGTCCAGCCACAGTCCGGTCATTGGTAATTTTATCAATCGGGGCAATCTTCTGCTTACTGTCGTCCATGGTTGATATAGCTCTTGTATAACGGCCCTTCATCTCTTCAACCCATTTATTCGCATCGGCACCAGATTTCTCAGCCACTTCGTCTGGAGCCCGGAAGTTCATCTCGCTAACATGCTGATGCCGTGATCGGGGATTTTGGCTTGTTGAGCGACAGCTTGCCCTTGTGGGTGCCCTTGGGTTGTCTCTCCAGAGTCATTCTTCCGTATTTCCTCGCTTCTTCGTTGTTGAATTTTAATAGTGAGCATTTTGGAAAACTCTTTAATCGTTTGACGCGCAGCAGTACGCTCCGGGCTATTCTGAGGCGAATTGTTGACTTTATTCCAGAGGCCGTGTAAGTCGACTTCATACTTAGCCTTTTCTTCGTCGTTAAGCATCAGCAAGGCCTTAATATGCCCCGGTTTATACATCGGCGGAGTTCTTTCCTGGGGTCGTTCAGGCTGTCCACCAGCAGTTTGCGCGGCATCAGTAGCAGCAGCTCGATTACCGGCTGCTGCACCTTTCGCTTCAAATTCCCTTGAATATTCGCGACGGATTTGCTGAGGTACTTTAATCTGTGGATGAATAGGGTGGTGTTTTCTTTGGTGATCCTTGAGCTTTCGATAGGATGGAAAGCCGATGTCGTTGAAAGAGCACTTTGCTTTGGTACACTTGAGTAAGCCTCGATGTTGTATCTCGTGGTCTTTCAAGCCTGCAAGAGTAGAATAGCCCATCAGTGACCTATAACAGTCTCTGACGTGACATACGAATGCAGTTGGCCCAAACTCCTCTTTGAATACCATTAAGTCCTCTTTTGACAAATCTCGACTGTGGTCTTGGATTACTAGATGGATGACACCTTGGTGATAAGTTTCACGAATCGCAGAGAAAAGTGTGGGGTCTAGTGTAGAGGATGGCGGTTCTGCAAGAGTTATTGTTAGCGACGTGCAACTCGAGGAAATAGAAGTCAAAGAGGGTTGAGATCCTACCATTCATGCCTTTGATAGCTTTCTTGTAACTGATGCAAGAGGCCAAAAGAGCGGACACGTCTGGGAACGTTTCGAAACAGCCCAGGCGACAATCAAGTTGAATTGTGTCTGGCACTGAGATGTTTGTGAGTTCGTCCTTTCCACTCATTTGTAGTAGCCTTTTATGCGAGTTACATAGTTCGAGTAGCTTCTGCACGACTGCAGACGTCTCGAGACATAAAGGTGGCGTAGAACTGCTGGCATAGGCAAGAACATGTTCGACCCAGTACTCTACTGCGTATGGGAGTAATGCATGAAAGCTTTGGCCTATCGAATATTGATGCCCTGGAGTGCTTGGTGATTCTGCTGCGAAGCAAAGGCTCTGTAAAAGCTGAGATAAGCAGGCAAGAGAGATGGTGCTGTGCGCATCCAGCTCGTTTATAAAAGGCCCACTGGAGTCTGCGATAAGAAACCTGTGACTTGTCGGTACGTGGGGTAGAACGGTCGAAAGCCAAGGAGAAAAGCACACTTACTGTGGAACTGTGGAATGAATGAAGACCACCGATCCCTGAGGCCCGTCTTCTATGAAAGGCTTGCATATATCCAAAGCGTTTGGAAATGGCTTGGTGTTCTCGTTCATGATGCAAGATTTGGAGTGTAATTCCATCGCGATTCTCAATTCGTGTTTGCGAAGAGGCTGCTTGCCTTTGGAAAAGAGCATCCAGCTGAATACTCGGCGTTGCTTTGACATGTCATTGTTAGAGCAACCTCTTGTGATATTCGTAAGTATCTTATTATACCTGTAATAGTGTTAGTTCGGTCGTAACATGTGTCGTTGAATGAGTCATACGCATCAGCAAGGTCTCTTGGCAGACTATGCACTTTGTTAAAGAGGTCCTCTCTACTCGAGGCCGTCTCCAGGATTTTAAGGACAAGGAAAACCCAAAGAAACATCCCTACATTCATGAGTCTTCTAAACCTATTTGGAACTAGTGAATCGATCACTTACCTTGAGCTCTTTCGAGAATTGCTTCTTTGACACCAGCAAGAACCTGACCGGGAATCACTCCATCATGCCTATCGTTCAGTTCTTCGAGGGATGCGCTGACAATTATTTCCAGATCCTTAGTGACATATGCTGACTGGTCTGCAAGACAAAGTGTTGGCTTGTTCCTCAAATGTACGCGAATGCTCGGGATGTCTTGACTGGAAAAAATGAGTTTACAATTGTCTTGTGCCTCACTGATTGATGCCAGGGTTTTGAGCATATCCCGATGCTGGCTATTATCAACTTCGTCGATACCGTCAATAATGATTCGGATGTCCTGGAATGCGGCCAAGAGCTTCTGTACAAGCTGTTTAAGGCATGGAATTGACGGTTTACTCCCTGTAACAATACAGTCATCGTATATGAACGAAGCTAACTCGGGTTTCCGGTCGACCATTTGGACGCAGAGGGTCTTCAAGACTTGGCTAGTAACGCTATGACTTGTCGTATGGAAGTCGCAAAAGAAAAATAAGCAGTTCCTGGCACGATCGCTCCGTAGAAAGTAGATGAGCTGAGAACATAGGATAGATTTGCCTGTTAATCTTAGCCACTGGTTATAGCGAGAGGAACATTATCGGAGCCATACCCGAGCCAGGCTTTCCGTAAAGCCACAGAATTGAATGCCCCCTACCGAATTGGAGCCATGATCGAACAGGTCCTGATTTCGTGAGCCACTGAGACGTGCCTTCGCGGCAATGATCACGAAGTCGTTCGAGCTTCGGTTCCTGATCCAACTTGGAATCTCCAGCTTCCAACCACTTTGTCACTCTGTTATACTGTTCAGAATCCCACCTTTCTTCCCATTTTTTTGCATCTTCTAATGACTTGCGTCTCCATTCCCAAGTCTGGGAGATGTCCAGAGATACTGCTTCTTTATCTAGTAATTCGCTGGTTTGGATAATATTTTGCAGGAGTCCGTCAAAGTGGTGTTCAAATCGACCCCAGCCGGATGTGAAGAATATCTTCCAGCCTATTTGGAATATCAACAAATTGTTAGGTCAAAGCTTCTTCATATCTCACACATACCTGGTTTCTGAATTAGACGGTATGCACGGCTATGGAAATCGAGAATATCGCTATACAGATAGGAGAGAAGCTGCTGAAAATCGTGCGACTCGCAGAAAGTCTCGCCCAGTCGATTGAGGCGCGGCAATGCTTGTCCAATCCGCCCATAAGCAGACACTAATCTGTCTAACGCACCCGTGTGATGTTGGACTGTCTGGAAGTGAACAACATCAGTACTAAAGAGTCAACTGTCTATTCCGGGGAGTTTCGCTGACCTGGAGAATAAGCTTGAGAGGTGCCTGGTAGATTTTAGACAAGGCCTTGCAGAGATTGACGAGGAAAATATCAACTTACCCATATATATGGCAGAAATGGTGTCCCGTTACAAAGAACATCTATGGGTTTTGATAGCCGATCTATAGCGTTCAGAAACGGAGTCAGTCGATCAAGATTTCGCAAGCTCTGGCGTGCAGCTAATTGCTGCTCAATTTGCCGGATCGCATGTCGAACGTCGTTCACGGTCTCTACCCCTAGTATCTGTCGGTTGTCTTCTCCAGAGAGCTGCCGCCGGAACCGCTCGCACGCTCTCTCGATAGCTGTTTGACTCATCATCAATAACTTTTGGATTAAAAAAACATCGAGCTCCACGATTTTTCTTACCCCTCACTAAGATCACATGTGAGACGGGTCGGGTCGAGGCGCTGAGGCCCTACACATCTTACATAGCCTCCACAATTCACCACTTGCAAGCATAGCCGCTGGGCTAAGACCACTCACTACGGTACTTCCATACCAGGGGCGTTATTACATTGGCTGAGCCAGTCATGGGGTGGTGCCCCCCTTTTGTCACACAGTACACACCGCTCCCATCATTGATAACAGTTGCTCAACTGAGAACATAGCCGCCAGGCGAAGTGGCACAATGCCGTTTTTCATTGGTAAAAAAAAGTGCAAAAGGCAACTTACCACCACAATTCCGTTCGCCACAGCGTCATTGCATGAGGGTTGGTTTCCAGCGCTTATTTAGCTCAATGTCAATTGACTATAGCAGCATATTTTCACAAACGAGGCTCTCATTCACACAACTATTTCTCCGCTGTAAAGAACGTTTTGTTTGGACTTGAACATTACAAGTAGACGATACTCACATCGATGCAGTAACAACATTAGCTGGAACTCGTGTCAGCGTCGTCTGTAATGTCGTTGGAATTCAACCCGGCGAAGAGAAGGCGACTGGGGGAGCCAGATTCGTCGCCACCTTCATCTAACGTCCTGAACGACTTTGAGTACCATGAGGAGATAATTTTCACGGCGCCAGAGTTCGAATATCCCACGAATGTCATTCTTGACTCTCCAGACGTAACGATTCCTACCAAGTCGGATAGCGCTGCTGAACTCGTGTGTTTTGGGACGGTTTGTAGCAGCCACTTTCTCCATGTTGAAATACAACTGACGCAAGTAGTTGACATCCTTCACTTGCTCCACCGCCCTTGAGAACAACCAGAAGCACCTTTGTCCACTCAAAACTCAATTGAGACTTGGGAGCAGCGGCACCCTTCTTTCTGAGAATACCGAGCTAGTATGCGGTGTGCTGGGCACACAAGAAACTGAGCTGTTAGCACTATTCACTAAAGAGAGTATCGATTTTGAGCTTCTGTGGATGCCAGAGCAATCACCGAATGCCGGCGCTATCGGAAATACTGTAGCAATTTGGGTCACATTATACGGACCCTGTTATATGTCCTCGGGCCTTCGCGAAACCCTGCAAGAACTTGAGCTTTACCTGCAAGACCCAATTTATGCCCTAAGGGATACCCCTTACTTCAATCCTCAACGGTTTTTCAAAGACCCAGATGCTCGAACTACGTGTTTTACAGCCGGCGATACACAACTTGAGTTACATGCAGAGTTTAGCGATGAGAAGGTCGTTGTTACAGACGTGCTAGATAGCCTCACTGTTGAGTCTATCCTGCATGAAACACCAGGTTCTAAATGTCTCAAAACTGAACTAAAAGGGTGAAGTTCCTTTGGATCGTGAAATGTAATCGCAGCTAACCTGGCTAAGGCATCAAAGGCAAGCACTCACGTTCATGCTTCGGCGCGAGATGGGCTGGAGATTACACAAGCAAGGCGAAGACGTTTGGTCTCAGTATACGGATGATTTTGGGCATACCGCGTGGGTTACCCGACCCGAAGGCGGTGCAATACTGACTTTTTTTAGTTACATTAATAATATTGACTCGTCTATCCACTATGAGAGCCCCCAAAATTCAAAAGGCGGGATTCTAGCTGATACAATGGGTCTGGGAAAGACTCTCAGCATGATCTCGCTCATAGCCCATGACAGGATACTGGCGAAAGACCAACGAACAGGATCATCAGATGGCAACGTATTGGGGAGAGGCACGCTTATAGTGCTTCCACCCTCTTGTGAGTCCTACTGTGAAAATAAGATTCCACCGGCTGACAAACGGCATACCAAGTGGTTCAAAATTGGGAAAATGAGCTTTCACTGTCAGTGTCCCACCATGCATTGAGAAAATATGTGTCGAGAGGAGCAACCGCTGACATTCTCAGCCACCTGACCGAGAACGACTTTAGCTGGTATCGACATCATCGACTGTGTAAAATCAACCAGTTCGACGATATCGGTTTCTACGATATTGTGCTCACAACCTACTCTACATTGGCTACAGAAAGACGGTGTCAGGGACAGAGAAGTATAGTTCTCTCTCACTATTGGCATCGCATAATTCTAGACGAAGGCAAGTACCAAAGTAGTAATCCTAATAGCCTAATAGTGTAAAAGACTAAATCGAGTAGCACATGAGATAAAAGACCTATCAACCGCCAAAGCTCAAGCTGTGTGCAGTTTGCAAGCCGATTCTAGATGGGTCGTCACCGGAACGCCAATTCAGAATAAACTTTCCGACGTCTTCAGCTTAATCCACTTCCTTCGCCTGGATCCCTACTGCAACAAGCCAGATTTTGTCCAATGTATTACAAACCCGTGGCGACGTGGAGAAGACAGAGGACTCCAATGTTTGGCAAAGCTTCTAAAATGCATTATGCTAAGGAGACCAAAGAGCACCCTGACATTGCCTGCTCGAGAAGATCATCGACGGTTCCTCAGTTTCAACCAACACGAACAGGTTGCGTACGACAGTTTAAAGCTAAAAGCAATTAAATGTCTCCAAGACAGTCTTGACTCAAACCCTCAGGAAGGTTACCGAAATGCCCTGGAGAAGATAAGCGCTCTCAGGGATATTTGCGAATTGGGGTGCTTGCCAAAGCCTGAAGTGAAACCAGTTCGCGACTTGATGTCTTACTCAGGCTCAAAGTGTGCATCTCCAACGACGAGCACAACAACAGATGACAACGAGGATTTTACAGCCAGAAGAACTATAAGCGGGCATGATCTGGAAGAACAGGATTATCTTTACACGGAGCTTTTTTCACACACCACGACCTCAGACCTTGATTATTCGGACCTTTTGGACATTGCACATCGCTCGCCTTTGACCTCGATTCAATGGCCTACCAAGACGCGAGCACTAATTGAAGATATAAACAGTTGCCCCAGTGGTACAAAGAGGTATTGTCTTGGATCATATAGAGGTAATATCAAAGCAACTGACGGGACTTTAGCGTTGTTTTCTCGTATCGCACGTCAACTCTTGAGGTTGCACATAGGGCGCTCAAAGCCGTTGGTGTCAACTGTGTTCAGATTGACGGTAGTCTAATTGCTAGGAAGAGAAACCTTATCATCGACAATTTCTCAACCAAGAATGAGGTGCAGGTTCTCCTTCTATCTTTAGGTTGCGGGGCAGTCGGGTGAGCGTAACAAATCCTTAGAAGTGAAACCGACAGCTAACATAGCATGGCTTAAACCTCACCGCAGCATCAAGGGCCTATCTTTTAGAGCCACAATGGAATCCAGCAATTGAGGAACAAGCTCTTGCCAGGATTCATAGACTTGGGCAAACGCGAGCGGTCACAACTATACGCTTTATCATCCGTGACTCGATCGAGCAGGTGAGCTAACGATTCTTTTTGTCCGCTTGATATTAAGCTAATATATGTCTAAAGTATGTTTTAGATATACAAGAGAAGAAGCAAGACTTGATAAGTATGCTTAACTGGAAACAAGGGGATAGCATTACTACTAAGATACTGGTAAGTTGCTTAAGGATCTATTTAAGCCCTGTTTAGCTACTAACAACGCAGCATCTACAACAGCTCTTGCGTTGATAGGTCCTAAAATCATATCTATATGTAATCCAGGACTTAATTGACTCATTACTTAGATGCATGATTTTCCTAATAAATATAAATTGAACGATTTTCAGGAGATAGAGAATTACGAATCTTTAAGCTGAACAGCCAACCTTAACACGAAGATCCTTATGAAAGGCGGATAAGTTATTGCTTTTATTAGATATGCTAGTACAGGCACAGCTTGTCCCTATGGGCCTTCTTTCTCAGATAATTGTGAATTGACCCTGCTTGCTAGATTGTATACCGAAAGAATGTTGCATTGTCACCTTTCTCCCGCTCAGCATACTTTTCATCTTCAGTATACAAGCTAGGATCCTTGTGTGTAGCATCTCGGCGAGCGTTCTCGCGGCGTAGGTAGATAGCCATCCACACAGACAAGACCAATGCCATCACCTGGCAGCCCAAGAGAGTACCGAAGCCTGGGAAATATCTTGGAGCATCCTTTTTCAGGAATAGATAGGATGCAATGATGCCGCCAAGGTTACCACAGCTCACGTTCATCGCGATGCCGACACCCCGCTTGAGTGATCCACCGATGTTATTGCTGTTCCAGGCAATGCCTTGGGGAACAGATGGGAATATGCCCGAGGCGAGGAGGAAGCAGCCAAAGTAGCGAACTCCAGAATGGCGAACGGCCATGAGGAGAATAAGACCAAGTCCACTGGTAAGTTGTCAGTAGGTGGCTACAAGTATCAAGGTCCAATGGTTACTTACGCCATGGTGATGAATACAATCATGAATATTCCTCTTTGTTGGATCTTGTCCGCCCACCAGCCAGCTACAACGCACACAAAACACGCAACCAAATAAGGAGGAGTACTCATAAGCTGGGCAGTTGTACTGGAATAACCGAGGTCGCGAATGATGGTGGGTAGAAAAAGAGAATAGGAGTAGACCCCGGTAAATGTACCAGTTGCGATAAGCATATGTACCCAGATCTTCCAATCTTTGAACGCATCCCAGACATATTTCATTTCGAACTCTTCGGCTAGCCCCGATCGATCAAGCATCAAGCGTTCTTGGATATGTTTCCTCTCTGCGTCTGTTATGAACTTGGCTCGGTCGGGATAATCAGCCATCAGCTTGAATGAGGCCAGTGCTGCAGGTCACAACTGTTAACATCAATCTCAAGCGGGTTTGTCAAACGGAACACATACCGACTGCTACAGTAAGGAGACCTTCGATGATAAAGATCCATTGCCAGCCAGCCAAGCCTGCCAGACCTCGCATCTCCATTATACCACGGGCGAGAAAGCCGCCAAATACACCAGCAGCCGTCGCAGCAGAAAAGAAAATGGCCATGCGAAAGCCACACTCGTGGCGACGGTACCACATGGTGATACTGGAAATGTTAGCCTACGATACAAGAGGTTCGCGATTGGAAGGAGACGCACTAGTAGGCAATTCCCGGAAACAAACCGCCCTCAGCTAAACCAAGGAAGCTTCGTGCAGCCAACAGACCAGCGTAGTTATGGACTATGCCCATCAGGGTGCAGCAAATGCCCCATACGACCATCATAGAGGGGATCCATATCCAGGGCCTGAAGCGCTTCATGCCCATGTTGGACGGGATTTCTGCTATGATGTAGAAGGGAAAGAATATGGCGAGTGCGTGGTTGTACATTATACCTGACATGTTGAGGTCTAACTCGAGGGTATCCAGACGAGCATTGCCGATGTTGGTGCGGTCGAGGAATGAGAGGAGGTAGAGTAGAGAGACGAATGGAATAATGGACCAGTCGATTTTGCGGATCAGTCTGTTGGTGTCGGCTTCGGTGAAGCCTGCACCCTCAGCCAAGGACACTTTCGCATTGTCGGCCGTTTCAGCAATATTAACACTTGCTTTATCACTGCCTGCTGCGTCCTCTTTCATAGTGGCGATTAGACCAGAGACAAATTGGAATAGTGGATGTATGGAATAAAGAAGTGGTAGAAGGCTGATCTGTATTCTTAAGATTAGTATCCTTGGGCAGTATTTATAACCATACAAGGAATGATCGCAGACATCAATGCGTTTTCCCCCAAGACTGAAGATCTGATCCCCCACAGTCTAGATCCTTGTTAGCTTTTGGCGATCTGGGGGAATTGCAATGAGGGGATATTCCGATTCGGCATAACGGCAAAGCTTGGCTTTAGACTTAAATTAGACTATCTTCATCCTGTTTTCCCCGCACGAAGCTAAGTCCAGGTATAGCAGGTGCAACGTCAACCACTTGCACACACGGCTCGAAAACACGGCTTGCACGGCCCGAGCACGGTCCGAGGAACGAAGTCATAGCCGAGCAGGTTATCTCTCAGCCAATACAAGCTTCTGGCAACTGATGTCAAAGCGATGGCGTCACTGAAGAGAACGAGTAGCAAGTGAATTTAACTAAATTAGGACATGAATCTGCCAAGTCGTCTGTGGTGACGAAAGCTCTCAGCCACAAGTCTCAACTGCAAATAACACGTCTGGCTAAAGCAGCTTTGAGCCACCTTAACAAATTCGAACCAGCCCCTTCAGGTACTCATGGCCTAGCAAATAATTCACCAAGTCCATGTCCCACTTCCTGCTTTCCGGCCGGCCAGTACACGCTTGATATTATTTGGGGCCAAGTCCTGAGATCATCCTACTTAGCAACAGTTTGTGCAGTCAGATCAAGGGCCGATCGAAATGTTTTGAGGTGAGCCTCTGCGTGTTGGCTCCGCGGTCGTTCACCCAACGAAACCAAGGACACCGCAAGGTGCGTTCTTGGGTTGTAGCCTTTCTTGCTGCTCTAGCAACATCTGGCTGAGGTCCTGAATACGTTTTTTTTCCAATATCTCAGTTTCAGCAATGATGCGCAGGTGGTTGAGATCTTGATCAGTTATGCGAGTTGTGTTCATGCCTCTCGAACAAGAACATGAAGCCGGCTTGTGAAATAGGACGGGTCGCGAATAAAATGGCAGAAGTTTTCTTTGTCAATAATGATCCAGCACATGCTTTCTACGGTATTGACTGTTCGATTCGTTGCTGCCGCCCTTTTTTCTGTTATCTAGATGAAGATTTACAAATTTTTATAGAAATTGCCCTAGTTGTGAAGCACTGGTTACTTAATAACTGTTAACGGTTCCATATAGAGAATTAATTCTTAAAGTCTAAATATATTCTTTAGAACTCTATTCAATTTTAAGTTAAAGAGATTAAACTTTAATTATTAAATAATTTTATACTAAAAGAAAGTAATGAAGCTCTTTATATATTAAGCCAGCTATAATTAACAGCAGTAAAGCGAGTCAGTCATAGGATCCCTGCCCTTTGGCATAACGCATGCTATGCAGAGTTTTTTTTCTCTATAACGAGTCTATATCTATAAAGCGTAAGCTGAGATTATGGCGATTGTGAGATTGTCGCTTGGACTGCCGGTTCCAGCGAGGCCTGCTGTGGTGTCAACGGAAGACTATCATTAAATATTGCGTTGGCATTCGTCTTCATCGGCAAAATTCCCAAGCAGTGCATCACTTCTTTAACAAGTTGCTGGATTCGTTGGAGTCCCTTTCTTGAATCTGGGACAAGACTCAGTTGGCTGTTAAGCGATTTGACAATACCACCAAAGGTAGCCCAGGCGTCAACAAGTTGATAATAGAGGTTGCGAAGCGGGGCGCTCAAGTTCATATGGACCGATTCGAGGCTTTGCTTAACAGCTTCCGATAGCCTGATGACTCTGGAGCAGGCATCTTGTGCAGAGTGTTGTGTCTTTATGTTCAGGATCTGGGCTTGAAACCTGCGGCCGGTAGATGGTAGAGTCTCTGGAATGAGTTTGCATAGTCGGCAAAGAGCTTTGTATAATTGATGAAGAACCTCAGGTTCCTCATTCAACGCCAATATACGTGCTGGTGGTGGAGGTGTCCACGGATACTCTTGAGGAGCTGCGTCGCCGTCTGATGGGCGTTTAGCATGCCCTGGAACAGTTGTTGGAATAGATAGACTTGATTTACCATTTGGATTTTTTCGTGTTTGTCCTTTTACGGAGCCAAGTTCGGTAGTCTGCTGGAGAGTGGCTTGATTCTGGAAACAAAGAAATTCGGCTCGTAGTCCCATGATACTAGCATATAGGCTGCAGATCAAGTCGCTAATAAAGCGCCCCTCTGCACGTTCAACGAGAACTTCAATATTTCGACAGACCTGTGAACAGATCGGAACATACGCCTTTGTTAGAACACTGCAAGCGCGCCTGATCTGGTTGATGTTTTGTTTCATCTTCGACATCTCATCAGCCTGGGTGGCGTATGTCTGAATCTGCTCTCCAAGCTCGCCAAGATGGAGGCTTGCGTTATATGCTACCATCTGAAGACTTGATCGTCTAGAGTCTCCATCACTTGTGAGATCTGATAGAGCTTCGATGAGCCAGTGTATCCGATGGATGGAGAAAAAGACTGTTCGTGCCATCTCCAACGTGGGATCGCGTGGGCCGGAGCGAGAAATTGGAACGATGTTGAGAAGTTCACCTGTCGATGAGAATGGGTGGCCTTTCGGCTCTTGTGATTGGGCTCGTGGATACATCGCGGTATTGAGACTTAGTCCGCGACGATGCTGACTCAGTCTGTCCGTTGGCGGTAACTGGGGGATCTGTTGCAACCCGAACCTCTTATTCGCGTGGGTTACTGAAAAATCCTTGCGGATACGAATATTCCGAGGATCAGGTGTCTGAAGGCCGTCAGAGTTGTTTGGTGAAGGGCTTCCCTTATCTTGTTTCTGGTAAGTTGTCCTAGGGCTCGAGACCGCTTTGTTCTGTAGTGGCGAAGCCTTTGAGTGCGGTTTGGGCGAGACTATTGAACGTGAGGTCGGAAGATTGGCTCCATCAACTTTAACGGGGAAACGCCTGGCACGGCTTGGCTTTGAAGAGTGCTGGCGCGTTTCGAACTGTTGATTCGAACCCTGCGGAATCGGCGGCTCAGACCGGCTGGCAGTAGATGTAGCCTCCTGTTTCAAAAATTGCTTTATCTGAGCCGTGACAGCCATATCAGTGCTTCCGTTGACCCGTGCACTGTTGGAAGCATCTTCAGGGTACTGTGTTTCGACAATACGACTCAGCATCAGAGTCAACGGGTTGCCGTCGATCTTGAGGGCGAGGAGTGCAGTCATCTCGGAGATGCATAATGGCAGCTGCTGAATCTTATTCTTTTGGATTGCCAGGACCTTGAGAGACGCCATCTTTGCTACATCGTCTGGGAGGCATTCAATCTTGTTTCTGCTTAGATCGAGGATCTCGAGACGACTTAACTTCAAGAGCTGCCTTGTAGTTAGCCTTCAGCAGCATGCATATCACGGCTTGAGGGAATATGTACCACAGGAGGAAAAGTGTGGATGCAATTGCTCCGGATGTTAAGGTAGCGCAAGGAAGTAAATAGAGACAGGTGTGGCGGGATGTTCGAAAGACGGTTGTGAGATAAAGCTAGCCTATTGGTGATCTAGGTTAGCAGTTGGATATAAGCCTGAATTATGGAAGTACAGACCGCTCAACGTTCGGATTGAGATTATCGAGAGTATTAGCGGATGAGTCTGAGAGACCACTGTGGCTAAGGTCGATGGTGACGCCTTGGTCAACAAATAGCCCAGACATGGCCATCACTACTATTCAATACTCCCGTCGACAGTCGCTTCAGGCCTCCTTGTAGCTGCGCCGGATCGGGAGATACCACTATAGTGGGTGATGAAGCTGTCTGGCCGCTGTAACTTTAATGCTCTGTTCCTGGTGTCTGAGTGAAGATATTATTCTTTAATGGAGGTGACAGTACTCTGTAGATCTGGTGGGGCTGTGGTGTTGATGTTGTAAATCGACAGATCCGGTCGTGGCAGGGCGGGGACATTCATTGGAAACGCGGAGTCACATGTTGGCTTAGGTAAGGTGCTTTTGTAGGCCAACATCAAACTCATAACTTATTCCGCATTTCCTCATCAATCATAGAGGAAAACAAGACCTTACTATGTTCAATTCTCTCGATTTAATAATTGTATTGAAAATTGAGCCATTCTTTCACCCGATATATCCACACTCACTCCCTCCCGCCATCTCTATCGCCAACCATCCCTCATCATTATATTTTAGTCATTATGCATTCTTTACTTCTCAGTTGTAGCGACCGAATGCTGAGCATCCTCCTCATGTGCAGCGCCAAGCTTGGCCTCCACATCGCCCTTCTCAGCCTTTGTAGTAAGATGAGTAGCGACGTGAGTCTTCCAAGCCGGGGTACCGATGTACTTGATACCATTAGGATCCTCAAACATGTCCGCAGTCTCTTCAAGGGTCTTTCCAGCTGTCTCAGGGAACATAAACAAGACATGGATGAACATGGCAACATTGAAGACACCGAAGATGATGTAGCTCTTCCAAGTGATGTTCTCAAAGGCAACGGGCGTGAAAAGTCCCAGAGCAGTGTTGAAAGCCCAGTTGGATGAGGTAGCGAACGCGACACCTTTTCCTCGAAGACGAAGAGGGAAGAGCTCAGGTGGATATGTCCATGAGGCTGGACCCCATGTTGGTGCGTAAGAAGCGACGAAGAGATACGTGCAGGCGATGAGGCCCTTTGCAGCACTTCCACCAACACTCATGGAGACTTGAGGAGAGTCACGCTCATCCTTGGGGATCTCGGTGCCGTGGGCAGCCAAGATACCGGCGTTGGCGAACATCCATGTGCACATGAGAGTAGCGCCGATGAGAAATGTTGGACGACGTCCCCACTTGTCCATCCACAGAAGGGCGGGGATAGTCATCAAGACGTTTATGATGTACTGGATAGACGAAGCGAGAAGGTTGGCGTTGCCCTTGTATCCTGCCATTGAGAAGACGTAGGAGATGTAGTACACTAGAAATGTCAGCATCGAGTCCGGTAGCAGGTGAAGAAGACTTACTCATAACGTTCATGCCAGTAAGCTGCGACCAGATCTGAGTAAAGATACCAATGACAGTCCTGTTGATCATGTTGGGCTTGAACAGATCAAGGTACGTAACATCCGCAATCGACGCCTCAAAAGCACACATATCCTTGATATCCTGCAACTCCAGCGCCACAAACGGATGGTCAGGATCTCCATGCCCATGGACAAGGGTAAGTACACCATGGCACTCATCCCAACGATCCTTTCTCGCCAACCAACGCGGAGACTCTGGTAGCAACATCATCATGAAGAAAAGGAACACGCCAGGCACCATCTGAAGACCCCAGGGCACGCGGAACGCAGCGGTGGAGTAGTCGGAGGAGTGACGGCCGCCGATCATGGCGCACCCGTAGGAAATGTAGTACATAATCAGGATGCCCCATGTTATGGCCCATTGCTGCATGCCGATAAAGCGGCCGCGCTTGGAGGGCGGGGAGATTTCGGCGATGTACACGGGGACTTGGGCGGATTCGATGCCGACCGCGAAGCCGTTTATGATGCGGCCGACGACGAGCATGCCGATGTTTTGGGAGGCACAGGAGATGATAGAACCGATGATCCTATCGATGTTAGTATGTTACCTTTGTACAAACATGTTCATGACTTACCAGATGATACAACCAACCATGATGGAATACTTCCTTCCAAGACGATCACTGAGAATACCTGATACCAAAGCACCCAACCACGAACCAGCAGCCATACTCGCCGTTATACCACCCTGATTCAGCGAGGTAGGTCCGCTGCAATCCTCATCATCATCAAAAGGCGGTCCTTTAGGACCCTGGTTAAAGTAACATTTGTAAGAGTTCTCGCCCAACTGAGCAGAGATGGAAGAAATGTCAAAGCCGAAGAGTGCACCGCCTACGACGGAGACTCCGGCGATCACGTAGATGTTGCCAATAGGCATGGTGTAGTCAAGCCAGTTTGTAAGTGATTGAGCTGCAAATGAACGGTGCAACTAGGGCGGGGGATGTGTTTTATAGCTGTTATGCTGGTTACACTTGTTTGGGATGATGGCCTCGGGGTAATGTGTCCCGTTAATGTGGACGCTGAAAGGATTCTGGTTTGTCCTACGGTTACATACATTTCGAGCTCCTGATGCTGGAGATCCTTGCTGTTGGGAGCTTCTCCACTGGGCACGGGGATGATGTTCTGGGGTTGATGGAGGTGGGCAGGACATGGAATTGTTTGTGATATGACGTATTGCTAAATCCTTCGAGCTTTTGGGTGTCAGTCAATTGTTGTGCTATCACCTAATGATCCATTGCTCATGGTCTCAACTCAAGCCCTTGAAGTTTCTACAGCTTCAGTTGCTGAGGTTCATTACATTCAGACATCATGGTAAAAGCCAAAGCCCAGCTCTATCCCCATATTCTCCATCTCCATACGAAAAACCATCATCCCCAAAGATCACCATTTTCCCAGTGGATCTTTCATCTGCGACGTTACATCTTTACCACCGAGCATTTGGCCGTCAAAGTACTCTCTATTCGGCAATAGGCTGCCGCGGAACATTAACTGGCTAGTGGTGTGTCATTGTCGATCATGTCACTTGGATCAAGAAAATATTCCGTAAATTCGCAGGGTATAGTGCTTAAAACCGGTAAGCTCACAGGGCTTATTACTTAAAAATGCGGGCTGATCATTTCGGATCCGAGAGGGAAAATGGTGTGTTTTCCCCCGGATTCTCCACTGTGGGAATAGGTCCGAATACAGAGGCGATAAGCGCTGCAATGAGACCCAAGAGTTTGGGGGGTTGTTTGGGGGAGAATGGAGTCACATGTTTGGTCTGTTTTGACAGGCGAGGGTTGGTGCAACTATAGATCTTGTGATGGGATGAATCGAGAGATGCGACAATGGCATTTTTGTGATTCTGCCTAAATTGAACCGAATGCTCTTCTTGCTGTTTATCGTCTTGTGCTTTTGGAAGAGTCTGATGGTCATGTGCGTTTAGTGGGCTGGTCCAAACCGCTGGGAGCCGAATATCATATCACCAGCATTTGTAATTGACAGCAGAGTCAGTGAACAGTCAATACAGTATTAGCTTTGTCATTGAATCTTTATCCCTTAATTCTGGAAGCCCATAATCACGATATTCTGGCATCAATTGGCTTCCTCTGCCTCGATGAACGTAAGTGAACATTGGCCGGGAAGACTGGTTAACCTACACCTTTAAGACGCGCTGCGATCGCGTGGCGTTTCTTCATTGAGACATGAGCTGAGGCAATTCCCCTCCGCATTCTCGTACCATTATCCGAATACTCTATCAGATCCTCTGTTGCTAATGTCTCTGTTTCCTTGAATCAAATTCCTCGTCGCGGAGTGGCCTTTCAGTATCCGAAAGCCTCAGCAGCTTCATTGAGTTTTTCTGTTGTGTCTAGCATGAGACCTGGATACGAGGCACAAGCTCTCGCAGGTTGCCAACCATGAATAAAAGAACAGAGCTTCGAGTGGTTCTATTTCTCACAAGGAACTCTCGGTAATTATTGATGACGGACATAGTCGATAAACCCAAGGCAATTGCGCTTGGCGTGCCGTGCCGCATTTTGCGTCACTGCCGGAGCTACTGGACCACATGCCGACGCTTCTCTTCAAGCATGGTCCTGTTGAGCCTCATCACAAACGCTGCCTCTCACTGACTACCAAATTATCTCGAATCGTAGATATCAATTTGGTCATTACAATCATAAATGCTATCGGTATTAAACCCATCATTAACGAGCACTCATCGCCCATTCTTATGCATGCCATGCTTCAACGCCAAACTCCTATGCTTCAAAGAAGCTCAGCCAAATCTCACCATCATGCTCACACTCGCTATGCCCCAAACTCCTCAATCACACTCCTCCCCTCCACAAAGTCATTATCAACACCCGTATACGGAATCTTCAGTCCAAAGCCCTCAGGTCCACCAACCTTCATACCCTTATCCGTCTTCCACAGCGGATGCGCCGGCAGCGCAACGACATTAACGCGCAGTCCGTACCGCAAGTCCTGAGATCCAATACCCTCGCCGTCTTGGCCCAGGATGGAGATTAGGTCGGGAACCGTGCACACGACCTGTTGTGAAGCTTCTGAGCCGTCGGCGTCACAGAGCGCTGCGTAGAGATACTCGTTCTGGAAGGGGATCACCATGTGGCGATCGCTGGGGACGTCTTGCTTATGGGATTCGCGCTCGTCTTCGCTGAGGGGCGCGATGACGACGGAGCCCATTGTGTAGCCGCCGCCGATGTAGCGACGGACATCGACGATCTTGCCGGTGAAGAGGAGTT